AACTGTTCGTGACATAATTCAGGCCGGCTAGATCAGGCATGATCACAGCCGTAACAAGTACAAGTAAGTATAAGATTCTTGTTCCGTGTTTTCTGCCTTCTATAACCATAAGAGACTTTGGGATTAACCATGGCGTGGTTTAAAAAATCCCGTTCGAAGATCTGTCGATCTCTTACAATGATACTTTTGACCCGGTTACTCTGTAGCTTGCAACTATTGAGGCATTCAGGCGTCCTATCAACAAGGAACCTTTTCACAGTTTTCTCTTCTTGTTAACTTTCGTTTTTAAGGATTTAGTCAAACAGCGAGGTCTGTTCATTATTCTTCTCTGCGTGATGGGACAATCGTAAGAGATGAGCTTTTGGCCTATCTCTTTGAAGGGTTCCCAAGCTTCTTTGGCATTGTTGGTAAGTGCGGATATTCAGTCGATGGAACAAATATCATGTTTAAATCACCCCGCCACATACTTGGTCGGAGTTCTTGCAGTTGGGCAGGCAAAGAAACTAAAGTGCATTCGCAACTGACAAGTAAATGGTCACTCTGGTCTAGTGGAGGTAAGCAATTCACAATGCCGATATCGTCATGTGACTTAATGAATAGAAGGTAGGAGGCAGTTCTTCCGCTGACCTTCATGAACGCTTGTCAGAAATGTGACCTGTTGGTTGAGAAGCAGAATTTCAGTTGTATGCAGAAGCTGATAGGCGAATGCTGATTCAGGGTAATCGGCGCAGGCGGAACTTCAGTTGATGGTAGGCGCATTGAACTCTCCAAAGATAAGAGTATTTGATCGTGTAGCAAAGGCTTTAAACTCATCTAGCAATAGGGTAGCAGATTCAGGATCGTTTCTTGGGAGTCGGCAGACGGTTACAATACCGAGGCTTTAGTAATCCGTTGCTCTAGCAGTCAACCATACTGCTTCCGAGCAGGTCAGCTTCATTATTTTTGTTCAGAAACATGTAAACCACTCTGTACGAATGTTGCTACGTCCCCGCCTCTTCGGTTGTGTCTGTCGTTACTGAACAGTTGAAACCCAGGTACTGCAAGCTCTCTATTGTCAATTTTTTCCGACAACCAAGTTTCTCTTGTTGAAATAAGATTTAAGAGAAGGTCACATACGTAAATTTTCCATTTACGTATTTTTTCAAAAGTAGGCTTTGGATGTTAGTATACATGTAATTTAACCTGGAGTACGTGCGAGATCCATTTTTAAACCCCACGCAGTCTAGTGGAGCAGTTGTACGGTCATCCTTACCGTCTTGATCCACAAAGGGGTCAGAATTTCTTTTAACTACATGATCCTAGTAAATAACTAAGTTCTGCCCTCCGCTGACTAGCCATGTTCATGTTGGTTAAACTGTCAGCCTGACCACTTTCGGCAAAAGAAAATTTATTTCAAAGTGAACTATTTCTCTCTCACTTTCTCCGCAATCAGTTCATGCGGAACGATTATCCGAAAGCCTTTATAAGCCGCTGCCTACGCGTACGGCCCCGGAGGACCCAAACGGAAGAACCTTCGAGGATATGGCACGCTCTACCATACATCAAGAATGTCTCA